AACATCCCAAAACTGCAAAAACTGAACCCGGACCCTCGGCAGAGAAGGCGCAGGGAATCCCCGGGGGGCTGGAGGTCCCCCCGGCACTCCAGCAGGGTCACGGCCGCCAGGAGCCCTGCAGGACAAAGGGGAGATGGGGATGAGGCCAAAGCTCAACCCTTGACCCAAATCCTGACTATGGGCCCAAAACTGGGACCCTTGGAGTTCATCATCCTCCTCACAGCTGGGTCCTGTCCCTTTTTCCAGCAGGCCCCGCCCACTTCGAGGTCCTCAACCAATCAGGTTTTTGATTTCCATCATCGCCCCTTTGTCACGCAGGGTTCCGGGCGGCCGTGACCCTGCTGGAGTGCGGGGAGGACCTCCAGCCCCCCGGGGTCTCCCTGCACCTCCTCTGCCGAGGGTCCGGGTTCAGTTTTGGGAGTTTTGGGATCAGCTGGGTGCGCCAGAGACCCGGGCAGGGGCTGGAATTCGTCGCAGGGTTCAACACTGGTGGAGGCATTGGCTACGCGGATTCAGTGCAGGGCCGGTTCAGGATGTCCAGGGAAAATGGGCAGAGCTCGGTGACGCTGACCATGAACAACCTCAAGGACAAGGATTCCGGATCCTATTTCTGTGCCAAAGCTGCTACTGATGGTTGGGCTTCTCCTGATCGTTTTGACCCCACCCTTATCGCCGTGTCCCCCCTGTCCCCGTTCCCCAGACCCTTCCCCCAGTCCCCAGCCCCTGACCCCATTCCTGTCCCCGTGCCCCAACTCTGCCCTGGCTCTCCCCCACATTCTCAGCTCCCGGCCCCACACCTCAGCTCGGGGCCCACTCGGGGCCATTTTGGCTCCTGAGCTCTCATTGGCCATTCTGATCCTGCCCATGACGCATGGAACGTTCCAGGTGACTCCCACCCTTGTACCCCTCTGCTTCTCTCAGCATGCAGCCCTTGGCTCGAGATCAATTTAAACAGTTTCATCACCCCAAAATTTCATGTGTTTTTTGTTAAAAAAGGCGTTTTTTTCTCCAGAGCTTGCAGAGAGAATTCCAGCCCAGCCCCAAGGAGCAGCCCCAGACACCGAGGCCGCTGAGGGAGAAGTGAAGCCCCAGGCGGGAGCGAGGGAGGGAGGGAGCGAGGGAGGGAGGAGAAGATGCCGCGATTTTGGGGCTCCGCAGCCTCCCCCCACTTCCTCCCCGGAAGCTGCCGGGGCCCGGCCGGGGCAGGAAAGGAAACAGAAAGTTCCTGGTTTTGGTCATTGTGAACATCTGTGTTTGGCAGAGGGCAGCTCAGCCTCTGGGCGCTGCGGCAGAGCGCCAGCTGCACAAAAAGCTTTGTGTGCAAAGGGCCCTGGAGCGATCCCTGTTCCACACTGGAACGGAGGGGAAGGGCTTGATTGGGGTGAAATGGGCAAAATTGGCGGAAATTGGGAATTGGGGAAGTGATGGTGGAGTTTGGGAGAAATGGTGAAGATTTGATAAAAAGAGCCAGGATTTTGGGGCAGGATCTCTGGGATTGGGGACATTTGGTGACCATCATGGTCACTACCAGAAGCGACATCATAACCAGCATCAATAGCATTGCCAGCGTAACCATTGCAAAGTTTGACACAGAAATAAACGGCGGAATCCTCGTCCTTTAGGTTGTTCATGGTCAGCGTCACCGAGCTCTGCCCGTTGTCCCTGGAGATTGTGAACCGTCCCTTGAATGACGGCTCGTATGTGGGAGTGCCGCCATCACTGGTGACACTTGCCACAAACTCCAAACACTGCCTGGGTCTCTGGCGCATCCAGCCCATCCCAAATTTCCCAAAATCAAACCCAGACCCTCGGCATAGGAGGCACAGGGACCCGCCGGGGGGCTGGAGTTCCCCCCCGCACTCCAGCAGGGTCACGGCCGCCCGGAGCCCTGCGGGACAAAGGGGAGATGGGAATGAGGGAACGAATCCACCCAAATGTTGATTCTTGCTTGCAGATTCTGATGTTTCCCAAAATTTGGGACCGTTGGACCTCCCCATCCTCTTCCTGCAACTCCTGCCAGTCATCCCAGGTGGATCCCACACCCTTCTTCTGGAATGGCAGCGCCCACTTTTACCGCACAGCCAATCCATGCCCTCATCCCCGTCTCCCCTTTGTCCCGCAGGGCTCCAGGCGGCCGTGACCCTGCTGGAGAGCAGGGGGGAACTCCAGCCCCCCGGGGGGTCCCTGATGTTGCTGTGGCGAGGGTCCGGATTCACTTTCGGCAGTTTTGGCATGCAGTGGATCCGCCAGAGACCCGGGCAGGTCTTGGAGTGGCTCGCAGGGATCAGTGACAATGGTGGCACCACCAACTATGCGCCATCGGTCAAGGGTCGGTTCATGATCTCCAGGGACAACGGGCAGAGCTCGGTGACGCTGACCATGAACAGGACAAGGATTCCGGATCCTATTTCTGCACCAAATGTGCCGGCAGTAGTTGTGATTATGATGCTGCTGCTTTTGGTGACCATGGTGTTGGTGGTTTTGGTCCCAGGCCCTCTCCTCTCTGTTCCCAAGTATCACAGAATTCTCTGATCCCTCCCCAAATCCCAGCGCTTTTTCCCCAAATCTCTTTCATTTTCCCCCAAATTCTGCCATTGCTGCCCCAACTCTGCACTTCCCCCCAGTTTTTATCATTTTTCCCCAATCTCAGCCTTCTCCTCCTCACCCTTGGATGGTTTACCCAGAACCATGCCCCAGTCCAACACCAAGCACTGATCCAAAGCCCCTAAACTGGTTCTGTCCCAAACCCCCAAACTGGTTCTGCCCAAAACCTTCCTGCTTTGGCCCCAAAACTTGCCCGATTCTTCCCCAAATCCCCACTTTGGGCTCCCAGCTGCAGCCTCTGACCCAAACCTCACCTGCTGTCCCCAAATCTCGGCCCTTGGGGCACTTTTGGGGCACGAGGAGGAAATTTGGGGCCGAGAGTTGAGTTTCGGGCCAGACCCAGGGCAGGGTTTGAGGCCAATGGGCAGCGTTGGGGCAAAGGGGGCGGGGCTGGGACAAAGGGTCAGGGGTGGGACAGGGGGTTTGGGGTAGGGTCTGGGGACAGCTGGGGACAGGGATGGGGCTGAAACCCCAAACACCAACCCAACCACCGGGAGTGAAAACTATGGCATGGGCGGCATCCCAGCAACCATAGGAATCCTTGGCACAGAAATAGGATCCGGAATCGTCGTCCTTGAGGTTGTTCATGGTCAGCGTCACCGAGCTCTGCCTGTTGTCCCTGGAGATCCTGAATCGATCCTTGACAGAATCTGCGTAGTGGGTGGTGCCAGCAGTGCTGATCTGTGCTACGAACTCCAGCCCCTGCCCGGGTCTCTGGTGCATCCAGCCCAACCCGAATTGTCCGAAACTGAACCCAGACACTTGGCAGAGGAGGCGCAGGGACCCCCCGGGGGGCTGGAGGTCCCCCCGCACTCCAGCAGGGTCACGGCCGCCTGGAGCCCTGCGGGACAAAGGGGAGATGGGGATGAGAAACCTGATTGGCTGAGGGCCTAAAAAAGGGTGGGTCAAACTGGAAAATGGGGCGGGACCTGGGAAGCCCTGCAGGAGCAGGACAACTAGGATGAGATTGTCCAAGTGTCCCAGTTTCGGGCCCAGAGTCAGGATTTGGGTCAAGGGTTGAGCTTTTGCCTCATCCCCATCTCCCCTTTGTCCCGCAGGGCTCCAGACGGCCGTGACCCTTCAGGAGTGTGGGGGGAACCTCCAGCCCCCCGGGGGGTCCCTGCGCCTCCTCTGCCGAGGGTCCGGGTTCAGTTTTGGAAGATTTGACATGGAATGGATCGGCCAGAGACCCGGGCAGGGGCTGGAATTCGTTGCCTACATCAGCAACACTGGTGGTTACACCTACTTCGCGCAATCGGTGCAGGGCCGGTTCAGGATGTCCAGGGACAATGGGCAGAGCTCGGTGACGCTGACCATGAACAATGTCAAGGACGAGGATTCCCCCCTTTATTTCTGTGCCAAATCTGCTTATGCTGGTGCTGCTGGTGGTGCTGCTGCTGCTTATATTGACCATGCTAGTTTTGGCATCACCCCTGTCTGAGCCCCCCCAGTCCCCAAATCCAGAGTCTTCCCCCCCAAACCTCAGCCCTTGACCCTTTGTCCCAAAATTTCCACCATTTGCCCCAATGGTCAGCACTGACCCCAAACGCTTCCCATGTCCTGCCCCTAATCTGAACCATTGGCCCCAAACTTTCACCCCTGGCCTCCAGTTCAGGCCTCCTCCAATCAGGGCCCAGGACTGGGTAGAGATTACGGGGAAATGGGAAAAATTGGAGGAAAGCACAGAGTTGGGGAAACAATGGCAGAGTTTGAGGGAAAATGGTTGAAGTTTTAGAAGGGCTGAAACTTGGAGGAAGCATCATTGGGATTGGAGAAATTTCACAACCATCATGGTCACTACCAGAAGTGAAGGCAAAAAGAGCAGCAGCATCACCACCAGTATAACCATTGTCACGTTTGGCACAGAAATAGGACCCGAATCCTCGTCCTTGAGGTTGTTCATGGTCAGCGTCACCGAGCTCTGCCCGTTGTCCCTAGAGATCCTGAACCGGCCCTTGACCGATGGCGCATAGCCAATGTTGCCTCCGTTGTTGCTGATCCCAGCAAGCCATTCCAGCCCGTGCCCGGGTCTTTGACGCATCCAGCCCATGTTGAAATTCCCGAAATCGAACCTCGAACCCGGACCCTCGGCACAGCAATGTCAGGGACGCCCCGGGGGGCTGGAGGGTCCCCCCGCACTCCAGCAGGGTCATGGCCGCCCGGAGCCCTGCGGGACAAAGGGGAGATGGGGATGAGAAACCTGATTGGCTGTGGGCCTGCAGTGGGTGTGGCCAGCTGGAAAAAGGGATGAGACCCACCTGGGAGGGTGACCAGGAGCAGGTGGAGAAGAACAAATTGTCACAGCCTGGGGTAAAAATTGGGATTTTTGCGTCAAGGGTTGAGCTTTGGCCTCACCCCCATCTCCCCTTTGTCCCGCAGGGCTCTGGGCAGCCGTGACCCTGCTGGAGTGCGGGGGGGACCTCCAGCCCCCCGGGGGGTCCCTGCGCCTCCTCTGCCGAGGGTCCGGGTTTGACTTTGGCAGTTTTGGGATGGGCTGGCATGGCCAGAGGCCTGGACAGGGGCTGGAAGCTGTCACAAGTATCAGCAGCAATGGCAGCGCCTACTACGCGCCATCAGTCAAGGGCCGGGTCACGATCTCCAGGGACAACGGGCAGAGCTCGGTGACGCTGACCTTGAACAACCTCAAGGATGGGGATTCTGCCACCTATTTCTGTGCCAAATCTTACAATACTGGTAGCGCTGCTGCTGCTCGTTATATTGACCATTCCGGTGGTGGCACCACCCCATCAGAGCCCCTATTGTCCCCCAGACCCAGACCCTTCCCCCAAACCGCAGCCCTTGACCCTTTGTCCCAAATCTCTCCCATTTGCACCAATGGTCAGCACTGACCCCAAACCCTCCCCTGCTCCTGCCCCAAAAATCAACCATTGGCCCCAAACATTCAAACACGTCCCCCAGTTCAGGCCTTGCCCTCCAAGAGTTCCCATTTCTGACTGTGCCTGATCAGCCAATCAGAGTTCAGGGAGCTGGGGGAGATTTAAGTTGAATGGGAAAATTGGGGAAACTCCAGGGCTGCGGCAACAGGGGCAGAGATTGGGGGAATATAGCCAAGATTTGAGGAGAAGGGCTGGGATTTTGGGGAAGAATCTGTGGCGATTAGAGACATTTGGTGACCATCAAGGGCATGGGATCGCTGAGAGCATCATCAATAAAAACATAACCAGCGCCGCAATATTTCTGACGTCTGGCACAGAAATACGATCCAGAATCCTCGTCCTTGAGGTTGTTCATGGTCAGCGTCACCGAGTTCTGCCCGTTGTCCCTGGAGATCCTGAACCAACCCTGGACAGACGGCGCGTAGGCGGTGGTGCCACCTCTGGTGATCCCTGCGACCCGTTCCAGCAACTGTCAGGGTCTCGGGCGGATCCAGTACATGACATGGCTGCCAAAATCGGCAGAGGAGGCGCAAGGACCCCTGGGGGTCTGGAGGTCCCCCCCGCACTCCAGCAGGGTCAGAGCTGCTCGCCCATCCCCAAACCTTCCCCAGTTTTGCCCCAAATTCCCTTTGTCTGGCCTCAAATCTCCAACAGAGGTTTCCATTATTGTAAGCTGCTTTCAACCCTGCAATTGGCTCTGATTCACCCATTAATTATTGGACAGCTCAGCTTGGATTTTGCATCTCCTCATCCCCATCTCCCCTTTGTCCCGCAGGGCTCCGGCCAGCCGTGACCCTGCTGCAGCGCGGGGGGGACCTCCAGCCCCCCGGGGCGTCCCTGCGCCTCCTCTGCCGAGGGTCCAGGTTCAGTTTTGGAAAATTTGGGATGGGCGGGATGCGCCACAGACCCAGGCAGGGTTTGGAGATTGTGGCGGGTGTCACCAGTGATGGCGCCACTCCCAAATACGTCATTCAAGGCCCGGGTCACGATCTCCAGGGACAACGGGAAGAGCTCGGTCACGCGGACGATGAGCAACCTCAAGGACGACGATTCCGCTGTTTATTTCTGTGTCAAACTTTGCAAAGGTTATGCTGGCAATGCCATTGATGCTGGAATCAATCCAGGTAGTGACCATGATGGTGAAAAAATTTCCCCAGTCCCAGAGATCCCCAAAATCCTGGCTCTTTTTCTCACATCTCAGCCATTTTCCACCAGACTCCACTGTCACTTCCCCAGTTACCAATTTCCCCCCAATTTTCCCCATTCGTCCCCAGTCTGGCCCTTCCCCTCCATCCCAGTGTGGCACGGGGATCGCTCCAGGGCCCTTTGCACACAAAGCTTTTTGTGCAGCCGGTGCTCTGCCGCAGCGCCCCGAGGCTGACCTGCCCTCTGCCAAACACAGATGTTCACAATGACCAAAACCAGGAACTTTCTTTTTCCTTTCCCGCCCCAGCCGGGCCCCGGCAGCTGCCACGGAGGAAGAGGGGGGAGGCTGCGGAGCCCCAAAATCTCGGCGTCTTCTCCTCCCTCCCTGCCTCGCTCCCACCTGGGTCTTCACTTCTCCCTCAGCAGCCTCGGTGTCTGGGGCTGCTCCTTGGGGCTGGGCTGGAATCCTCTCTGGGAGCACTGGACATGGTGACAATGCTGGTGGTGGCCCCACACCCCCATCCCTGGCTTCCCAAATGTACCAAAATCCCCAAATCCTTGCCCAAATCCCAACCCTTGACCCCATTCTTGACCTTCTCCCCGAATGTCCACCATCTTTGCCCCAATTTCCGACTTTCCCCCAGTTTTGCCCATTTCACCCAAATCTCCGGCAGCTCCCCGGGCCCTGATTGGACGAGACATGAACTGGAAGCCAGGGGTGAAGGTTTGGGGCCAATGGTGGAGTTTTGAGGCAGGAGCAGGGGAGGGTCTGGGGTCAGTGCTGACCATTGGGGCAAATGGGGGAGATTTGGGACAAAGGGTCAAGGGCTGCGGTTTGGGGGAAGGGTCTGGGTCTGGGGGACAAGAGGGGCTCTGATGGGGTGGTGCAACCACCGGAATGGTCAATATAACGAGCAGCAACAGCGCTACCAGTATTGTAAGATTTGGCACAGAAATAGGTGGCAGAATCCCCATCCTTGAGGTTGTTCAAGGTCAGCGTCACCGAGCTCTGCCCGTTCTCCCTGCAGATCCTGAACCGGCCCTTGACCGATGGCGCGTAGCTGATATTTCCACCAGTGTTGGTGATCCCCGCGACCCACTCCAGCACCTGCCCGGGACTCTGTCGATACCAGCCCATCCCAAAACTGCCAAAACTTAACCCAGACCCTCGGCAGAGGAGGCAAAGGGACCCCCCGGGGGGCTGGAGGTCTCCCCCGCACTCCAGCAGGGTCACGGCCGCCCGGACCCCTTCCCCAAATCTTCACCAATTTCACTCAGAACTCCTCTGCTTCGGTCCCAAATCTCCACCAGATTTTTTGGCTATCCTTATGTTCCTCAAAACCTGGAATTAAACTCAATATTCTCATTAATTAATTGGACACCTTCTCCTCAGGGTTCCACATTGATTTCAAAAGTAATACCACGTTAACAACGCCCAAAACCCCCGGGACCCCAACCCCGGCACATCCCGGCCTTGGCCTTGAGCTCCCTCCGGCTCCAGGCCCTGCTGCCCCTGCTGCCCCTCTCAGGCGGGCTCCGCCCCTTTTTTCTGGAACACACACAGCTTTTCCCCTTCTAGACCAATCATATTTCTCATTTTTAATCATCTCCCCTTTGTCCCGCAGGGCTCCAGGCGGCCGTGACCCTGCTGGAGTGCAGGGGGCACCTCCAGCCCCCCGGGGGGGTCCCTGCGCCTCCTCTGCCGAGGGTCCGGGTTAAGTTTCGGGAATGTGAACATGTACTGGGTCCGCCAGAGACCTGGACAGGGGCTGGAGTTCATGGCAGAGATCAGCTACGATCTTTCCAGAACCTACTATGCCCCATTGGTGCAGGGCCGGTTCAGGATCTCCAGGGACAACGGGCAGAGCTCAGTGACGCTGACCATGAACAACCTCAAGGACGAGGATTCCGGATCCTATATCTGTGCCAAATGCGCTGGTGGTTTTGCTGACTGGGCAGGTGCTGCTGGTGGTTATGTTGACCATCCCGGCTTTGGCCCCTCTCTCTCCTCTCCTGGTCCCCAGGTGTCCCCAAACCCCAGCCCCTTCCCCCAGATCTCATACCTAGACCCCCATCTTGACCTCTGACCCCTGTGTCCATCCCTGGGCCAACATTGAGCTGTAGGACAAAGATTTTAGGAGCAAAGTTTAGATCAAGAGACGAAGGTTGAGATTTTGGGGTTAAACAGTTGAAAGGTTTGGAGAAACGGTTGAGAGAGGGCTGAAGTTCGGGCGAGGGGTCTGGGGGTCTCAGAGCACTTGGGGCAGGGGATGGAGCCAACAGCAGCAGCACCAGGAGCATAACCATTGTCACGTCTTGCACAGAAATAGGATCCGGAATTGGGGAAATGATGGTGGAGTCTGGGGGAAAATGGTGAAGATTTGAGAAATAGGGGTGAGGATTTTGGTGATGGATTAGAGAATTCTGAGTTATTTGGAAACAGACAGGAAAGGGCTTGGGACCACAACCACCATCAACACCATAACCAGCACTAGCATCAGCACAACCACTGCTGTAACATTTGACACAGAAATAGGATCCGGAATACTTGTCCTTGAGGTTGTTCATGGTCAGCGTCACCGAGCTCTGCCCGTTTTCCTTGGAGATCCTGAACCGACCCTGCACAGATGGCGCATAGATGGTGCTGGAACCATCGCTCCTGATCCACGCGACAAATTCCAGCCCCTTCCCGGGTCTCTGGCGGATCCAGAACATGGAGAAATTCGCGAAACTGAACCCGGAGCCTCGGCAGAGGAGGCGCAGGGACCCCCTGGGAGGCTGGAGGTCCCCCCCGCTCTCCAGCAGGGTCACGGCCGCCCGGAGCCCTGCGGGACAAAGGGGAGAAGGGCATGAGGCCAAAGCTCAACCCTTGAGCCCAAAATCCCAACAATTGGCCCCACGTTGTGACAATTGGTTCTTCTCCTCCTGCTCCTGGTCACCCTCCCAGCTGGGTCTCATCCCTTTTTCCAGCTGGCCACACCCACTGCAGGCCCACAGCCAATCAGGTTTCTCATCCCCATCTCCCCTTTCTCCCGCAGGGCTCCGGGCGGCCGTCACCCTGCTGGAGTGCGGGGGGGATCTCCAGCCCCCCGGTAGGGCTCTGCTCCTCCTGTACCGAGCCTCTGGATTCGACTTTGGCAATTCTGGAATGGTTTGGATCCACCAGAAACCCGGGCAGGGGCTGAAATGGGTCGCGGGAATCAACAAGGATGGTTCCAGCACTGGCTACGCGCCATCAGTCAATGGCCAGTTCAGGATCTCCAGGGACAACGGGCAGAGCTTCATAACCCTGACCATGACCAACCTCCAGGACGAGGATTCCGGATCCTATTTCTGCACAAAAACTTTCGGTGCTGGTTGGGGTGCTGCTTTTTGACCCCATCCCCATCACAGCATCCCCACCTGTCCCCGTTCCCCAGCCCTTTGCCCAGCTCCCAGGCCCTGAGCCGGCCCGTGACTATTTCTCCATTTCCCTTTCCTCTCTCCGGCCCCAAACCCCAACCCTTGGCCGTTGATCTTCCCCAAAACTCTGCCCCAAAGGTCACCGCTGGGCCCGGGGCTGGGGACACGAATTCAGTCACCGAGAGCGGGGACGAGGGCTGGGATTTGGGGGAGGGTCTGAGGTATGGGGACAATTAGGGACGCAACAAAGGGGACGGGGCTAAATGCTCCATAACCTGCACCAGCAGCGTCACTACGATCAGGAACAACAGCATTATAACTCTCAGGAGTTTTGGCACAGAAATAGGATCCGGAATCCTCATCCTTGAGGTTGTTCATATTCAGCGTCACTGAGCTCTGCCTGTTGTCCCTGGAGATGCTGACTCGGCCACTGAACGATGACAGGTATCTGGTGTCTTCATCACAGTCAATCCCTACAATGTATTCCAGGCCGTGCCCAGGCCGCTGGCGGATCCACATCAGACTGGTTCGTCCAAAACTGAACCTGGACCCTTGGCAGAGGAGGTGCAGGGAACCCCCGGGTGGCTGGAGTTCCCCCCCACACTCCAGCAGGGTCATGGCTGCCCGGAGCCCTGCGGGACAAAGGGGAGATGATGGAGATCAAAACTCTGATTGGTCAAGCGCCCCCAAGTGGATGTGGCCTGCTCGACAATGGGGTAGAATCCTCCTGGGAGGATGATGAACTCTAAAGATCCCAATTTGGGGCCAATAGTCACGATTTGGGTCAAGGGTTCAGCTCTGGCCTCATCCCCATCTCCCCTTTGTCCCACTGGGCTTCGGGCGGCCGTGACCCTGCTGGAGTGCGGGGGGGACCTCCAGCCCCCCGGGGGTTCCCTGACGTTGCTGTGCCGAGGGTCCAGGTTCGATTTTGGGAATTTTGGACTGCTCTGGATGCGCCAGAGACCTGGGTAGGGGCTGGAATGGGTCTCTGGTATCAGGAACGATGGTGCTTACACAGCCCATGCGCCGTCGGTGCAGGGTCATTTCAGGATCTCCAGGGACAACGGGCAGAGCTCGGTGACGCTGACCATGAACAACCTCAAGGACAACGATTCTGGATCCTATTTCTTTGCCAAATCTGCTGCTGCTTGGAATTGGGGTGATGCTCCTGCTTACTGTGACGACGCCAGTTGTGGATCCAGCCCCGTCCCTGAGTTTCCCCCAGTCCCCACCCCCAGACCCTTCCCCCAAACCTCAGCCATTGACCCAGCCCTTGACCCTTTGTCCCCATTTGCACCAATGGTCAGCACTGGCCCCAAACCCTCCCCTGCTCCTGCCCCAAAACTCAACCATTGGCCCCGAACCTTCACCCCTGGCCTCCAGTTCAGGTCTCGCTCTTCAAGCGTTCCCATTTCTGCCCGTGCCAGCTCAGCCAATGAGGACCCAGGGAGATGGGGGAGATTTGGCTGAAATGCCCAAAACTGGGGGAAAGTCGACTGTTGGTGCGGCTGGTGCAGACTTTGGGGGAAAATCGTGAAGATAGTAGGAGAAGATCTGTGATTTGGGGAAGGATCTGTGGGGATTGCAGACATTTGGTGACCACCATGGGGGGTGGGACCACTGCCGGAATTGTCACTAAAGGCAGCAACACCACCACCAAAACTACTAGTAGCTCATTTGGCAAAGAAATAGGATCCAGAATCGTCGTCCTTGAGGTTGTTCACAGTCAGCTATTACAGCGACCTGATGAAGGTCTTCAGGGTGAGAGAAGTGGACGAGAATCTTGGTTCACGATCGGAAGGCTGGATTTATTGATATATGATATATAATACATTATACCTATACTAAAAGGAATAAAGAGAGAAGTTGCAGAAGCGGCTATGCTAAGAATACCATAGGAAAGAAGAAAATAACAAAGTTCTGTGTCCAGCAGAAAGCAAGGACAAATTCTCCTGTGAGTGCTCAGCAAATCGAAACACTCACAGAAGACCAATCACAGATGCTCCTATTACATTCCACACCAGCAGATAATTATTGTTTACGTTTTTCTTCTGGGGCCCCAGCTTCCCAGAAAGGACAAATCCTAAAAGAAAGGATTTTATGAAAAAATCTCTGTGACAGGTCAGGAATGGGGTCAGGGGTTGGGGTTTGGGGGAAGGCTCTGGGGAATTGGCACGGGGGGGACAGGGGGCAGGTAATGCCATCTAAACGTTCAAAAAAGCAGGACCATCCATCCAACCACCATAAGCACATTTGGCACAGAAATAGGGTCCGGAGTCCTCGTCCTTGAGGTTGTTCATGGTCAGCGTCATCGAGCTCTGCCCGTTGTCCCTGGCGATCATGACACGGTCTTTGAACGCAGGTGGGTACCAGTTGTATCCATCACTGTCTATCGCTGTGACCCACTCCAGCCCCTGCCCGGGTCTCTGGCGAACCCAGCCGAGCCTGAATTTCCCAAAATTGAACCCGGACCCTCGGCAGAGGAGGCGCAGGGAACCCCCAGGGAGCTGGAGGTCCCCCCCGCACTCCAGCAGGGTCACGGCGGCCCGGAGCCCTGCGGGACAAAGGGGAGATGGGGATGAGCAACCTCATTGGTTGAAGGCCCCAAACTGGGTGTGGACTGCTGGTAAAAGGGGCAGGACCTGCCGGGGAGGAGGATGAAGAACTCCAAGGGTCCCAGTTTGGGGTCAAGGGTCAGGATTTGAGTCAAGGGTTGAGCTTCGGTTTCATCCCAATCTTCCCTTTGTCCTGCAGGGCTCCGGGCAGCCGTGACCCTGCTGGAGTGTGGAGGGGACCTCCAGTCCCCCGGGGGGTCCCTGCGCCTCCTCTGCCGAGGGTCCGGGTTCAGTTTCGGGGGTTTTGAAATGGAATGGGCTTGACAGAGGCCCAGGCAGGGGCTGGAATGGGTTGCGTGGATCGATAACACTGGTGGTTACACCTACTACGCGCCATCGGTCAAGGGCCGGTTCAGGATCTCCAGGGACAACAGGCAGAGCTCGGTGACGCTGACCATGAACAACCTCAAGGACGAGGATTCGGGATCCTATTTCTGCGGGTAATCTGCTTATAACAATTGGGGTACTGGTGCTGGTGTGGATGGTTTTGGTCCGGACCCCGTGGCCGTGTCCCGATCGGCTCCCAAATCCAAGACCCTTCACAAAAATCCAAACACTTTTGCTCATTCCTGACTCTGTCCAAACCATGGAGTGGTTCTTCCCCAAATTCTCCACTTCTTGCCACAAAGTTTAACCATATCTTGACCCTTGGTCTGAAATTGCCCTTTTTAATACAAAGTTTTGGGGCACAAAGAGGACATTTGGGGTCAGGAGATGTGGTTTGGGGTTGGCGGGTGAGAATTGGGGCCGAGGCAGACCAAGGTTGGGATCAATGGTCAAGGGCTGGGTGTGGGCTGGTGGCTTGGGGGAAGGGTCTGGGCAACGGGGACAGGGGGGACATGGCGATGAGAGAGGGGACACCATGGGCATTGTCATTATCAGCAGCATGTTCAGGGTAATTATTAGCAGCACACCTGGCGCAGAAATAAACGGCGGAATCGTCGTCCTTGAGGTTTTTCATGGTCAGCGTCACCGAGCTCTGCCCGTTGTCCCTGGAGATCCTGAACCGGACCCTAGACCGATGGCGCGTAGCTGGTGCTGCCACCATTGCTGGTGATCCCTG